TGGAAAAGGTGAGGAGAAACAGGACGGGAATCACGAGAGGAGAAAGAGTGGGAAACATGAAGGGAAAAGGGTGGGAAATGTGAGGTGAAAAGAGTAGAAAACGTGAGAGGAAAAGAGTGGGAAATGTGAGGGGAGAAAAGGGCGGGAAAACTTGAGGGGAAAAAGGTGGAAAAGGTGAGGAGAAACAGGACGGGAATCACGAGAGGAGAAAGAGTGGGAAACATGAAGGGAAAAGGGTGGAAATGTGAGGTGAAAAGAGTAGAAAATGTGAGGGGAAAAGGATGGGAAATGTGAGGGGAAAAGAGTAGAAAACATGAGGGGAAAAGAGCGGGAAACGTGAGGGGAGAAAAGAGCGGGAAACGTGAGAGGAGAAAAAAGAGCGGGAAACGTGAGGGGAGAAAAGAGCGGGAAACGTGAGGGGAGAAAAGGGGGGGAAACGTGATGGGAGAAAAAGAGCAGGAAAAGAAAAAAATATAAAAAAACTGATTTGGAACATCAAAAACACCCCAAAAAAGAATGGGGTGACAGAAACACCACCTCAAAAAGGAGATGGCGGCACTTGTGAAGGAAGAAAAGAGCGACCCAGCACATAAAAGGGTTGAAGGTAGGAGAAATCCCTGAGGGCCTGCGGGATTTTGGGGGTGGTTTTGAGGGGTTTTTTTGGGGTGTTTTTGGGGGGCTCACCCCACGCTGCTGGTCCATCTTGTGCTGCTGCACCTGCTTGTGGTTGGTGATGACCTGGCGGATGCCGTTGACGAAGCCGCTCTGGTCGTTGGGGATGAGGCCCATGAAGATTTTCTTCTTGGAGGAGTAGAGCAGCATCAGCACCCGCACCTCGCAGGGAGCCGTGTGAGGGAAGTGCACGCAGCCGGCCTGGGGGGAAAACCGGGAACGGAGAGGGGATGGGGTGGGAGAGGTTTTGGGGTTGTTCCAGGAGGTTTTGGGGTCTCTAAAGGTGGTTTTGGGGTTCCTAAAGGTGTTTTTGGGGTTCCTAAAGGTGGTTTTGGGGTTCCTAAAGGTGGTTTTGGGGTTTTTGGGGTCCCTGAGGTGATTTTTGGGGCCCTGAGGTGTTTTTGGGGTCCCTGAAGGTGGTTTTAGGGTGTTTTTGGGGTCCCTGAGGTGATTTTTGGGGTCTCTAAAGATGATTTTTGGGGTCTCTAAAGGTGGTTTTGGGGTGTCTGAGGGTCAATTTGGGTTTCTGTAGGAGATTTTGGGGTTCCTGAAGTGGTTTTGGGGTCTCTGTGGGTGGTTAAAAGGTCCCTGAGGGTGGTCCTGAGGTGGTTTTGGGGACCCTGAGGTGGTTTTGGGGACCCTGAGGTGGTTTTGGGGTTCCTGATGTGATTTTTGGGGACCCTGAGGTGGTTTTGGGGACCCTGAGGTGGTTTTGGGGTGTCTGAGGGTCAATTTGGGGTCCCTGAAGGTGGTTTTAGGGTGTTTTTGGGGTCCCTGATGTGATTTTTGGGGTCCCTGAGGTGACTCTGAGATCTCTAAAGATGATTTTTGGGGTCTCTAAAGATGATTTTGGGGTCTCTGAAGGTGGTTTTAGGGTGTTTTTGGGGTCCCTGAGGTGATTTTTGGATGTTTTTGGGGTCCCTGATGTGATTTTTGGGGTCCCTGAGGTGTTTTTGGGGTCCCTGAGGTGATTTTTGGGGTTCCTGAGGTGATTTTTGGATGTTTTTGGGGTCCCTGAGTTGATTTTTGGGGTCCCTGAGGTGATTTTGGGGTCCCTGATGTGATTTTTGGGGTCCCTGATGTGATTTTTGGGGTCCCTGAGTTGATTTTTGGGGTCCCTGAGGTGTTTTTAGGGTCCCTGAGTTGATTTTTGGGGTTCCTGAGTTGATTTTTGGGGTCTCTGATGATGATTTTGGGGTCCCTGAGTTTATTTTTGGGGTCCCTGAGTTGATTTTTGGGGTCCCTGATGTGATTTTTGGGGTCCCTGAGGTGGTTTTGGGATCCCTGAAAATGATTTTGAGTTTCCTGAGGTGATTTTTGGGGTCCCTGAGGTGTTTTTGGGGTCCCTGAAGGTGTTTTTGGGGTCCCTGAGTTGATTTTTGGGGTCCCTGAGGTGATTTTTGGGGTCCCTGAGGTGATTTTTGGATGTTTTTGGGGTCCCTGAGGTGTTTTTGGGGTCCCTGAGTTGATTTTTGGGGTCCCTGAGTTGATTTTTGGGGTCCCTGAGGTGATTTTTGGGGTCCCTGAGGTGATTTTTGGGGTCCCTGAGTTGATTTTTGGGGTCCCTGAGGTGATTTTGGGGTCCCTGAGTTGATTTTTGGGGTCCCTGAAGTGTTTTTGGGGTCTCTGAAGGTGTTTTTGGGGGTCTCTGATGATGATTTTGGGGTCCCTGAGGTGTTTTTGGGGTCCCTGAGGTGTTTTTGGGGTCCCTGAAGGTGGTTTTAGGGTGTTTTTGGGGTCCCTGAGGTGTTTTTGGGGTCCCTGAGGTGTTTTTGGGGTCCCTGAAGGTGGTTTTAGGGTGTTTTTGGGGTCCCTGAGGTGATTTTTCGGGCCCTGAGGTGGTTTTGGGGTCTCTAAAGGTGGTTTTGGGGACCCTGAGGTGGTTTTGGGGTCCCTGAGTTGATTTTTGGGGTCCCTGAGGTGTTTTTGGGGTCTCTAAAGATGGTTTTGGGGTGTCTGAGGGTCATTTTGGGGTCCCTGAAGGTGATTTTAGGGTGTTTTTGGGGTCCCTGAGGTGATTTTTGGGGTCTCTAAAGATGATTTTTGGGGTCTCTAAAGGTGGTTTTGGGGTCTCTGAGGGTCAATTTGGGTTTCTGTAGGAGATTTTGGGGTTCCTGAAGTGGTTTTGGGGTTCCTAAAGATGATTTTGGGGTCTCTGAGTTGATTTTTGGGGTCCCTGAGGTGTTTTTGGGGACCCTGAGGTGTTTTTGGGGTCCCTGAGTTGATTTTTGGGGTCCCTGAGGTGTTTTTGGGGTCCCTGAGGTGATTTTTGGGGTCCCTGAGGTGTTTTTGGGGTCCCTGAGGTGATTTTTGGATGTTTTTGGGGTCCCTGAGGTGATTTTTGGATGTTTTTGGGGTCCCTGAGTTGATTTTTGGGGTCCCTGAGTTGATTTTTGGGGTCCCTGAGGTGTTTTTGGGGTCCCTGAGGTGATTTTTGGGGTCCCTGATGTGATTTTTGGGGTCCCTGAGTTGATTTTTGGGGTCCCTGAGGTGATTTTTGGGGTTCCTGATGTGATTTTTGGGGACCCTGAGGTGGTTTTGGGGACCCTGAGGTGGTTTTGGGGTCCCTGAGTTGATTTTTGGGGTCCCTGAGGTGATTTTTGGGGTCCCTGAGGTGATTTTTGGATGTTTTTGGGGTCCCTGAGTTGATTTTTGGGGTCCCTGAGGTGTTTTTGGGCTCCCTGAGGTGATTTTGGGGTCCCTGAGGTAATTTTTGGGGTCCCTGAGGTGATTTTTGGGGTCCCTGAGGTGATTTTTGGGGTCCCTGAGGTGATTTTTGGGGTCCCTGAGTTGATTTTTGGGGTCCCTGAGGTGATTTTGGGGTCTCTGAAGGTGGTTTTAGGGTGTCTGAAGGTGGTTTTAGGGTGTTTTTGGGGGTCTCTGATGATGATTTTGGGGTCCCTGAGGTGTTTTTGGGGTCCCTGAGGTGTTTTTGGGGTCTCTCCAGGTGTTTTTTGGGGTCCCTGAGGTGTTTTTGGGGTCCCTGAGTTGATTTTTGGGGTCCCTGAGATGATTTTTGGATGTTTTTGGGGTCCCTGAGGTGATTTTTGGAGTCCCTGAGGTGATGTTTGGGGTCCCTGAGGTGTTTTTGGGGTCCCTGAGTTAATTTTTGGGGTCCCTGAGGTGTTTTTGGGGTCCCTGAGGTGTTTTTGGGGTCCCTGAAGGTGGTTTTAGGGTGTTTTTGGGGTCCCTGAGGTGATTTTTGGGGTCTCTAAAGATGATTTTGAGTTTCCTGAGGTGTTTTTGGGGTCCCTGAGGTGTTTTTGGGGTCTCTAAAGATGGTTTTGGGGTGTCTGAGGGTCATTTTGGGGTCCCTGAAGGTGATTTTAGGGTGTTTTTGGGGTCCCTGAGTTGATTTTTGGGGTTCCTGAGTTGATTTAGGGGTCCCTGAGGTGACTCTGGGATCTCTAAAGATGATTTTTGGGGTCTCTAAAGGTGGTTTTGGGGTCTCTGAGGGTCAATTTGGGTTTCTGTAGGAGATTTTGGGGTTCCTGAAGTGGTTTTGGGGTCTCTGTGGGTGGTTAAAAGGTCCCTGAGGGTGGTCCTGAGGTGGTTTTGGGGACCCTGAGGTGGTTTTGGGGTGTCTGAGGTGATTTTTGGGGTGTCTGAGGGTCATTTTGGGATTGCTGAAGGTGATTTTTGGGGTCTCTCCAGGTGTTTTTTGGGGTCCCTGAGGTGATTTTTGGGGTCCCTGAAGTGTTTTTGGGGTCTCTAAAGGTGGTTTTGGGGTTCCTAAAGGTGTTTTTGGGGTCTCTGAAGGTGGTTTTAGGGTGTTTTTGGGGGTCTCTGATGATGATTTTGGGGTCCCTGAGGTGTTTTTGGGGTCCCTGATGTGATTTTTGGGGTCCCTGAGGTGACTCTGAGATCTCTAAAGATGATTTTTGGGGTCTCTAAAGGTGGTTTTGGGGACCCTGAGGTGGTTTTGGGGACCCTGAGGTGGTTTTGGGGTTCCTAAAGGTGGTTTTGGGGTGTCTGAGGTGATTTTTGGGGTCCCTGAGGTGATTTTTGGGGTCCCTGAGTTGATTTTTGGGGTCCCTGATGTGATTTTTGGGGTCCCTGAGGTGATTTTTGGAGTCCCTGAGTTGATTTTTGGGGACCCTGAGGTGGTTTTGGGGACCCTGAGGTGGTTTTGGGGTCCCTGAGTTGATTTTTGGGGTCCCTGAGGTGATTTTTGGGGTCCCTCAGGTGATTTTTGGGGTCCCTGAGGTGATTTTTGGGGTCCCTGAGTTGATTTTTGGGGTCCCTGAGGTGATTTTTGGGGTCCCTGAGGTGATTTTTGGGGTCCCTGAGGTGTTTTTGGAGTCCCTGAGGTGATTTTTGGGGTCCCTGAGGTGTTTTTGGGGTCCCTGAGTTGATTTTTGGGGTCCCTGAGTTGATTTTTGGGGTCCCTCAGGTGATTTTTGGGGTCCCTGAGGTGATTTTTGGGGTCCCTGAGTTGATTTTTGGGGTCCCTGAGGTGATTTTGGGGTCCTTACGAAGCCGTTGCCCATGATCCTGTAGAGCCCCTTGAGCGACTCCAGGTCCTTGTTGGTGAAATGGAACTGAACCATCCGGGAATTCCGGAAAAGGGGACCCAGGGTGGTCTGGTGGGGCCAAAAAAAGGGGTCAGGACCCCCCAAATCCCATAAAAACCCCGTCCCAAAATCAAAAAAAAATCCAAATCCCATAAAAACCCCGTCCCAAAATCCAAAAAAAATCCAAATCCCACAAAAACCTCATCCCAAACCCCCCAAAAAATCCAAATTACATAAAAACGACCCCAAATCCCATAAAAACCCCATCCCAAAACCCAAAAAATCCAAATCCCACAAAAACCCCATCCCAAAACCCCCAAAAAATCCAAATCCCCTAAAAAGTGACCCCAAATCCCACGAAAACCCCATCCCAAAACCCCCAAAAAATCCAAATCCCACAAAAAAATGCTTTGAATCCCACAAAAAACCCCAAAACTCCCCAAAATGTCCCCAAATCCCATAAAAACCCCATCCCAAAACCCCCCAAAAAATCCAAATCACATAAAAACATCATCCCAAAATCTAAAAAATCCAAATTACATAAAAACGACCCCAAATCCCATAAAAACCCCACCCCAAAACCCCCAAAAAATCCAAATTACATAAAAACCCCGTCCCAAAACCCAAAAAAAATCCAAATCCCATAAAAACCCCATCCCAAAACCCAAAAAATCCAAATTACATAAAAACCTCATCCCAAAAACCCCAAAAAATCCAAAACCCCCCCAAAAAAATCCAAATCCCACAAAAAGTGACCCCAAATCCCTTAAAAACCCCATCCCAAAACCCCCAAAAAATCCTAATTACACAAAAACGACCCCAAATCCCATAAAAACCCCATCCCAAAACCCCCAAAAAATCCAAATCCCATAAAAACCTCATCCCAAAACCCCCAAAAAATCCAAATTGCATAAAAACCCCATCCCAAAATCCAAAAAATCCAAATCCCATAAAAACCCCATCCCAAAATCCAAAAAAAATCCAAATCCCAGAAAAACCCCATCCCAAAACCCTAAAAAATCCAAATCCCAGAAAAACCCCGTCCCAAAACCCCCCAAAAATCCAAAACCCCCCCAAAAAAATCCAAATCCCACAAAAAGTGACCCCAAATCCCACAAAAACCCCATCCCAAAACCCCCAAAAAATCCAAATCCCATAAAAACCCCGTCCCAAAATCAAAAAAAATCCAAATCCCATAAAAACCCCGTCCCAAAACCCAAAAAAAATCCAAATCCCATAAAAACCCCATCCCAAAATCAAAAAAAAATCCAAATCCCATAAAAACCCCATCCCAAAATCAAAAAAAATCCAAATTACATAAAAAGTGACCCCAAATCCCATAAAAACCCCATCCCAAAACCCCCAAAAAAAATCCAAAACCCCCCCAAAAAAATCCAAATCCCATAAAAACCCCATCCCAAAATCCAAAAAAAATCCAAATCCCACAAAAAAATGCTTTGAATCCCACAAAAATCCCCAAATCCCCCCGAAATGCCCCAAATTCCCCACCAGGAGCTGCTGTGGGATGAGCTGCATGATCAACTTCTGCGGCCACTGATCGGTTTTGCTGCAAAAACACGGAAAAATGGGAAAAATGAGGAAAAATGGGGAAAAATGGGGAAAAATGATCAAAAATGGGGAAAAATGGGGAAAAATGAGGAGATTTGGGGGTTCCCCCCACCCCAAAAATCCCTCCAAAATCTCAAAAATCCCCCCAAAAATAAAAAAAAATCCCCAAAATCCCCCAAATTCCCCCCCAAAATTCCCCCAAAAATCCCCCCAAAAAATCCCCAAAAAATCCCCAAAAATCCCAAAAAAAATCCCAAAAAAAATCCCCCAAAAATTCCCAAAAAAATCCCCCAAAAATCCCCCCCAAATCCCAAAAAATCCCCAAAAAATCCCCAAAAATCCAAAAAAAAATCCCCCAAAAATCCCCAAAAAATCCCCCAAAAATTCCCCCAAAAAATCTGAAAAAAATCCCCCAAAAATCCCAAAAAATCCCCAAAAAATCCCCAAAAATCAAAAAAAATCCCGAAAAAAATCACCCAAAATTCCCAAAAAATCCCAAAAAATCTCCCCAAAAAATCACCCAAAAATCCCCAAAAAATTCCCAAAAAAT